GTACCTCCCACGTGGGATTTAGAACTCATCCTCCACTCTCAAACCACCTTTTAGAGCCAATGGCAACTTCATCACTCTACCTTTTTCACCATGAAAACTTTGTTCCTGCTGGCAATCACATCTGCGAGGAGGCGAGGCTGTGAGAGCTGCATGCATGACCTTTCACTGGCATAAAGTTATTCTACATCCCCGTCCCTCTTCCACCTCCCACGTGGGATTTAGAACTCATCCTCCACTCTCAAACCACCTTTTAGAGCCAATGGCAACTTCATCACTCTACCTTTTTCACCATGAAAACTTTGTTCCTGCTGGCAATCACATCTGCGAGGAGGCGAGGCTGTGAGAGCTGCATGCATGACCTTTCACTGGCATAAAGTTATTCTACATCCCCGTCCCTCTTCCTTACCCAAAGTTGGTTCTGAATTTCATATTCATGAACCCCCTAGTCCTTCCCACCTTCTGCCCAAAACCACATTGCTTCTGAGGCCGCCGCCATATAGCACACTCTAGATGTGAGAAGGGCCATTGCCTCCTATTTAGACAGGACGCAGCCTTTTCGACTATCCCAGAGATAAAGGTCTATGGGAAAACCACTTTTTTCTCAAAATTAATAACATCCTGTGTTACTACCTGCTACTCACTATAGAATAGAGCAGTACCAATGACTCCCAAAGCCCACCCATTCCACCAGAGCGATGGCAACGTCAACTGCCTTCCTCGGGAGTCCCACTCCATGAAATACGTCGAGCAATCACGCATTGATGAAGCATTATGCAATTCCACCATGTTTGACAACAGGTACTGCAGTAGCCCTGTGGTCCTCTCCACAGCCTGTAACAATTAGCCAAAGCCCACCTTCTATCTAAATAGGCACTGTTACACAGTCACCAACAGCGGAGCACCCACAGGGACATCACCCAAAGAAAGACAAGTTACTCACTCTGTGTAGTAATGATGTCTTCAGCCTGCTTTAATATTTGCTTATTTTAGAATAAAATATTTAGATAATTAAAAACACTGCAATTTATAAAGTGACACGTGATTTCAGCCAGCATAAAAGCAGCATGTAGAGACTTTAGTCTTGCCAGTTGATGACTACATTTCCAGTGACATACTTTTTTGTTTTTTAACAGCAAGATGGCTACTGCCCTGTAGGCTTAGAAGCCTGCTTTAATATTTGCTTATTTTAGAATAAAATATTTAGATAATTAAAAACACTGCAATTTATAAAGTGACACGTGATTTCAGCCAGCATAAAAGCAGCATGTAGAGACTTTAGTCTTGCCAGTTGATGACTACATTTCCAGTGACATACTTTTTTGTTTTTTAACAGCAAGATGGCTACTGCCCTGTAGGCTTAGAAGTAACCATAATTAATAAACCACATAATAAAAACAGTAGCTTGTCGGAAAACTGGTTCCATACTTGTTGCATTTTTATACAGGTTGGTACACTCAATCAGTGCTGTCCAATAATAAGAATACGTGAAGAATGACTAACAAAATGTGCTATTTTGTGTATTGTGCCCCACAGAATTGTATTATTACCTGCTGTTCACTGTGTTGGGGATAACAGGACATAGCCACAGAACTCTTAATATGGGGAGAGGGTTTTCTACAAATGAGGAGACCCATCATCTCTGTACTTAGTTATGTAGATAGTGCAAGTAGAGATTAGGGATGCTAACATGTAGTCATGTAGATTGAGAATCGATCAGTCTGGGCTTATCAGTTAACTCTCATGGTTACACGCATGTATTAGAGGCGGGGTGGGGTGAAGATGTGGGAGGTGGTGCTCATAGAGAAATGGCGTCTGTGGAGTTGCCTTCTCCCCCACGCAGCTGCTTCCCATAGAGATGCTCGTGGTGTGGCTGATACAAAGGCAACAGCGCAGAAGGGGGCTGGCATGAGCCACTACAGGTGGGAAGCTGGCTTCCCCCAAGCCGACTCCCCATCTTGTATCAGAAGCAGAAGTGTGGGAGGAGGCAAGCAGGTGCTGGTACAAGTGAGAAGGTGGCTTTCAAGCTGGCTCCCCACATGTACAGGCTTTCTCCAAGCTCCCTGCCACCTGCGCTGCTATCTCGGTATCAGAGGCAGCAGGGTTTGGGTGGGGGAGAGGCAGGAGCCAGTGCTCGCAGGGAGCTGACTTAAAAGCCAGCTCTCTGCAAGCACCGGATCCTATCTGTCCTCTGCATGTGAAGGTGTAACTGTTGAAAACTTCGGCAGTTACAGATTTACAAAAGTAGAAATTTAACTTTCCTACTTGTAATACTAATTTTAATGTGCCTTGACACAGTAGTAGAGAGAATCCCACAAAACTGCTTACTTTCCAGCAGTTTCACTTCTAAAATCCATATTCTAATGGGAAAACATCAAACATATTGAGTGTTTGCAAACAATCTAAAAGCAGAGCATTAAAATATATCTTGTTTCAATTAGTTGATCTGAGGATTGTGATGGTACTTGAGTTGCCTGCACCCTATATTTTGTGTATTAAAGCACATTGTCCTGTGATGTCACCTAAATGGAATCTAAATATCAAGTGACTGAAGTTTCTAGTTGCTTGTAAAGATACTATTACTACCTTAGGAGAATTGGTAATTGTAGAGCAATTAGAATGGTTGTACAGAGTGTTCCCTCATTTTCTATCCTTGGGCGGGTTGAAATTTTTTATCTGAAACACCAATATTGAGGTACTGTATGGATGTGCACCACCTATATAACAGTCCATGTGTATATAATAAAATATATTAAAACAAGGGATAGTTAACAAGGAACAATGCTTATGATACTTCATATGAAATCAAATAAAGAAAATTAGCACTACCCTTGGAGTACATACACCATCACTACTAGGGGTAGGTGTGATTGTATTATGGATGCAAATAATTCACTATCATAGTTACTCAAGAGTCTAGAAGAATAAAATGTACAGTTAACTTTAAGACTCTTTTTCCAGAGTGTGCGTGCATAGTTTCTAGGTGCTGAAAGTCCAAAAACAGAAATCGTTGGCTCTGCTTGTGACGAGGTTAAAGTCAGTATAGGAAGAAACCTCATATGTGGGTGTATCATCTGAAATCTGGCTGCTGCTTTGAGTGATTTGCTCATGTCCATTCCATGTAGGTGTGATGGTCCTTGGAACGTGCTTCTGCTCTTGCTCAGCAAGCGCCCTTTAGCAGTTTACTTAGTGTTAGAGTTCTTTGTTCAAGTTTCACAGTTTATTGTTCTTATCAGTTCTTAAGTAGTTAAGTGTCGTTTCCTGTGTCTCGCTCCTGGGCATGCCTGGGCCTCAAGGCTTCAAGCCTTGTGAGAAGTGCCAGAGGCCTATGCCCTGCGGTGACCTGCCTGCCTTAAGTGCCTCGATGAGGCCTATTTGTCTCGGGCCTGTAAAATCTGAAAAGCCTTCAAACCATGCACAAAGCAAGAGCGAGAATTGCGCTTGAAGATTATTCTTACGGAGGCGGCTTTGCGCCTGGCACCAGCATCCGACCCAGCAACTCAGAGTACCAGCCTCGGTGCAGGAGGCATCAGTACCTCCTTTGTTTCCTGGCCCAGAGCCTGGGAGTCCAGGCCGAGAGGGTGTCTGAGGATTTTGACCCTATGGTCGATATCCTACAGCCCGACACTCCTACTAGAGTGGCACTTCCCCATCAACAAGACCGTTAGTTTCCAAAATTACGAAGTCTCTCTGACAAACCCCGGCCTCTATTCCATCAACAGAGGAGAAAGCTGAGCGGCGGTACTTTGCGTCTCAGGAGGGGAACGAATACCTCTTCTACCATCCGCCTCCGGGGTCTTTGGTTGTCCAGGCGGTGAACCAAAGGGAGAGGCACTGCCAGCCGGGCGCCATGCTCAAGAATAGAAACACCAAGAAAATGGACCTCTTGGGCAGGAAGGCCTATGCATCTGGAGATCTTCAACTCTGTATAGCAAACCAGCGGGTTCTGCTGTCTCGCTATGCCTATAATACCTGGGTCTCCATGGACGGGTTTACTGAGCTATTTCCCAGGGACTCTCGCCCTGTGTTTAGAGCCCTCAGGGAGGAGGCCAGGGTGGCAAGCTTAAAAACAGCGATGTGGCTGCAGTGGTTGGAATAGCCACCAGAGTAAAATCCCATCCGACATACTAGGCACATGCCTGAGTTCTATTTTCTGTAACTTATTCCTAACTTAATTATGGAAAGAGAATTCAGGGTTGGTGGGTTGTGTCTTTTTAATTTTTTTAAAATTTTTTTGCATGGACATCAAAAATAGTTACAATTTCTGTTTGTACTCCTAAGCGTGTTGCTGCCTTTTTGGTGCTTCAGCTTTGGCACTATATTTGGGAAGTTGTAGGTACTTTGGCAGGTAACTGGTGTGAAATGTCATGTAGTATCCTTACTTTACAAGTGCAAAGAAAAGCGCTTTGGGACCATTGTTATTTCCAAGCTACGAAGTAGTAGGCTACGTCTACATTGGCATCCCTTTCCGGAAAAGGGATGCTAATGAGACGAGTCGGAATTGCAAATCCGCGGGGGATTTAAATATCCCCCGCGGCATTTGCATTTACATGGCTGCCGCTTTTTTCCGGCTTGGGGATAAGCCGGAGAAAAGCGCCAGTCTAGACACGCTTCTCCGGAAAATAAGCCTTTTTCCAAATAAGAAATCCTCCGGAAAAAAGCTTATTTTCCGGAGAAGCGCGTCTAGACTGGCGCTTTTTTCCAGCTTATCCCCAAGCCGGAAAAAAGCGGCAGCCATGTAAATGCAAATGCCGCGGGGGATATTTAAATCCCCTGCAGACTTGCAATTCTGAAGTGTCTGATCTGCATCCCTTTTCCGGAAAAGGGGTGCAGTGTAGACACAGCCGTAGTGTTTTACAGATTGAAACCTTGTTTTGAAATTGCAACCACATAACAGGGTGGGTCTAATTCTCTCTGTGAAAGAACATAGAATAGTTGAGTAAGTAGTATTCATGCAGTACCTCTAGCTTTTAAAACTTTGCATCTTTTATTTTTTCTTTCAGGAAAGAAATGCTGAAAATGCAATTGAAGCTCTTAAGGAATATGAACCTGAAATGGGCAAAGTATATCGACAAGACCGAAAAAGTGTACAAAGGATTAAAGCAAGAGACATTGTCCCTGGTGATATTGTGGAAGTAGCTGGTGAGATGCCTCTTTATTAATAATATGAGTTACATATGTCTAAGGGCTTTGTGTGTTGTTGTTTTTTTTTTTTTAAAACTAGTTTGAAGCCCTGGGCAGGATTTTAAAGAAGCATGAATAATGCAAGTTGACACCTTATTTATACTTTATGGATCAATGGAGGACGATATATTTTCAATAATTACCTTACACTAAATGTGTACTTCTATCTTCAAATTGTCTTAGGTTACTATTAACTTTAAATTGGTAGACATAAAAGCAAAAGATGTCCTTGCTACTAACTGGCTTACAGGGTGTTGCCCCCCCCCCCCCCCCATTTCTGTGTGGAAAAACGTACAAATGCAAAGGAAAAACCATGTGCAAAGTAAACTTAACAAAACTAACTTTTTCTTTTTTCGGTGATGTCCCTGTGAGTGCTCTATGTATGGTGACGTGCATCCCTGGAGCTTTTTCTAAGCAGTTGCTAGTCGGGCTGCGCATGCGCAGCAGGTGTTTCGTGCTGCTGACAGTTTGATAGTTGAGCACGGCCCGATCCCCTCCCCTCAGTTCCTCTTCAACTGCCCCCAGTTGCAGACGGACTTGTAACCTCTCTGCTCAGGCGTCGTTTCTTCACACTTAATTGCTTTCCCTTATGGGCTATTGCCCTTAATTGATCAGTCAACTTCAAAGAGGAAAAATTGCAAAGAGAAAGAATGTGCTGTTCCATTTGCCTGCCTGCTAAAGACAAAACGGGGCAGAGATGTTTGGGGGAGGCACATGGCCCCCCCTCAAAATGTGACCATTGTGGGAGCCTCACGGCCAGGGCAAGGAAGGACTGTGAAATGTGGCTCTGCATGCTTATGTTTTAGAGGGCGCTGCAGCCCTCAGACCTGCCTGAACTAATCCTAAAACACGGAGACCTAAAGCACAGGTCCGTGTCACCATTAAAACGGGGCAGAGATGTTTGGGGGAGGCACATGGCCCCCCCTCAAAATGTGACCATTGTGGGAGCCTCACGGCCAGGGCAAGGAAGGACTGTGAAATGTGGCTCTGCATGCTTATGTTTTAGAGGGCGCTGCAGCCCTCAGACCTGCCTGAACTAATCCTAAAACACGGAGACCTAAAGCACAGGTCCGTGTCACCATTGCCCCGAAAGCAGCACAGTCTCCCCTGCCAGATCGCTGCCTGCAAAGCCGCTCCCCAGGCTGATCACCGGGGACGTGCTGCATACACCAGGGAAGCCGGTGGCAAAATCCTCATCAGGCACTGCTGTGACCACAACCCCCACCAACTTGGGGTTGGCATGCTTGTCAGCGGCACCAGAGGGGCTGTGCCGGGAGACCATGGCGCCAGATGGACCGTGCCAGCAGACCACAGCATTGGGTGCCAAGAGGGAGTGTGGAACTCCCTTCCTTCCAAATGGCCCCACAAGTCCTCGGCACTGCCGCCTTCTCAGCCGCCTGCAGGGAAGTCCTCTCCGGCAGAGGCTTCAACAAGGTGGCATGATCAAAGCCCTTTACAAAGGCAGAAATATCACAACGCAGGGGGGGGAGGGGGGGGGGGGGGGGAAAGCAAGTAGAACGTTAGGAGCCGTTGAAAAGGGGATAGAGCCTGGGTCACCAACCAGTAGATCACGATCTACCGGTAGATCTTGGGCTCTAAGAGTAGCTCTTGAGCCCTCTCTGAACTGTGCACCTGCGCAGTACATTTACATTAGATTTCCTCATTTGAGGAGCAGTTACTCACCGAGCAACAACACAGGTGAGTAGCTGCGAGGAATGGTGGGAGGTCAGAAGGGCTGAAACATCCCAGCCAGCTGACTGTGGGTTTTCAGCGGAAAGAGGCTTCTCCTCTGCGCCTGCCCACGTGGAGCTTGGTGCACCCTGGCTGAGTGCCATGGCCAGCTTGGCCAGGCAGCCACTTCTCTTCCCTCCAGCCCACCTGCCCTGCGCTCAGCCCAGGGAGGCTGCGTCTAGCTCAAGCTGTGCTGGAGCAAGCTTCCTGGGCTGAGCGCAGGGCAGCCAGGCGGGAGGGAAGAGAAGTGGCTGCCCGGCCAGCTGGCCATGGCACTCAGCCAGGGTACACCAAGCTCCACGTGGGCAGGTGCAGAGGAGAAGCCACCTGTGATGGGGTGGGACCCGCCTATCCTCCCAAAGTGGGTCCACCCCGCACTGACCCCGCAATTGCCCTCTCACTCTTGGGGACAGCACGGCGGGAACTGACCGCTTGCAGGCGGTGTAGCACCGCCGCTCATCAGCTGGGCAGCGGGACAGCTGGCGTTGCTAGGCAACGCGCACCGCATGAGCGGGGAGTAATGGCGGCCGGAAGTGACGTCCCGGCGCGGGGGTGACGTCAGACGCCCAGGGAGCTAGGCCGGAGGGGGAATAAAAACACCCCGGTGAGTACCCGGTGGGGGAGGGGAGAAGGAAGAAGAGATAGAGGAGCTCGGAGCACAGGGCGACGGGAGACGGGAATTTAAGTAGGCAGGGTGGAAGAAGCCCAGGGCAGGGCACGGAGCCGGCGCACCGGTGGGTTAAGGGGACATGCCCCTCCGGTGGGACAGGTCCAAGAGACCCTGTCCTTGGGGCCCTGGGCTGGGGTCTGGGAGTGAGGGTGGGCCCAGACCCCCCACCCTGCGTACCCAGGGCGTAACTAGTGCGAATAACTGCTGTTAACTGTAAATACGCAGTTCAAAAGGACTACAGAAGGAAGGGGGTGTGACTGAACCCCCACACCTCTCAAGGGAAGATCGCTTTCCCTATTGAGGATGCAATAATGGAGGTATCTGGTGACATTTGGTGGAAGCTGATTAAAAAGTACTTTGTCCCTCCCAAGGATCTGGACTTTTTCTTTTCCCACCCCCAGCCAAGCTCACTGGTGGTGGATGTGGTGAATCAATGCTCCAAAGCCCCCAGATCAGATCTGCAAACAATGACAAGGAGTACAAGAAGCCTTCTTGTGCAAGAAGACTTATTCCTCAGCCATGCTGCAACTTAGAATAGCAAACTACTTGACACTGTTAGCTAACCATGATTTTGATAATTTTGATGATGATTTGAAGCTCGCTGAACTCATGGAACATGTACCCAACTGGTATGTTGTCCAGTATGCGCGTCTCCATTTCCACGCGATGCAACATTGGCTGACCTCTGTCTACAGCCTTCCCGACATCCTATTGGGAAGCAAGTTGTCATTCTAGCATGTGCACCAGATTCCCTCAAATAGTGGATTTCACATCACAACCTCCTCATTAGCGTTCCCTTCCCGCAGCCCGAACCATCAGTACAAATTACCACAGATGCCTCCCTAATTGTATTGTTGCCTATGCGCTCCCCATCTTAAGTGCAGGGAAGATGGTCATCATACAAAGCTATGTTACACATCAATCTCCTCAAGCTTTGAGCAGACACACACATGCAGACGCTTTGCTCCTGCCATTACGAACCGCACTGTATGGATCCTAACAGACAGCACACTGACTACGTTCTACATAAACAGGCAGGGCGGCACTCGTTCTCAGTCCCTCTGCAGAAGCTATCTGTCTCTGGAACTGGTGCATCCGTCGTGGGGTTGTCCTCAAGGCATCATACCTACCTGGAGCCAACAATGTCATGGCAGATGCACTGTCTCGCTGTTTTACCACAGACGGCGAATGGGAACTACACCCAGTGGTTACGGAGTCTATCTTCTGCACGTGGGGCTATCCAGCAATAAACCTTTTTTGCAACCAGAGACAATTCCAGGTGTTACTGATTTTGCTCTTGAGGAGGACTGGGCGAGGAATCCATGGGCGATGCCTTCCTAATAGTCTGGAACAAACCTTTGCACTACGCATTTCCCCCAGTCCCAGAATTCAGAACTCAGAATTGGATTTCCAGAATCTTGCAGAAAATTAGATCGGACACGGCTCGAGTCAGCTTAATAGCCCCATCATGGTCCAGACACACTTGGTTCCCATACCTTCAGTGCGTGCATGTCAGTCGAGCCACCTCTTCCATTACCACCTCAACGCGACCTTCTGTCTCACAACAGGCGCAAACTACTTCACCCCCAGTCCCACACCCTACACCTTCATGCCTGGGTTCTTTGGGGTTACAGGGCACTGAATCTCAATGTTCAGAGCAAGTGAAAACTGTCCTTCATAGTAGAAGGCCATCCTTGAAAGACTTAGCTGCACAAATGGAGATGGTTCACATCCTGGTGCCAGCGGTCACAGCTGTCTACACCATCTGAAGAAGGGGGGCCTATCCATCTCATCCATCAAGGTTCATTTAGCAGCGATCACAGCGCTCTATGAGCACATTGACGGAGCATCTATATTCGCCCACCCAATCACAAAGAGATTCCTCAAAGGCCTCCACAACCGTTATCCCCTTCTTAGGAACCCAGCACCTACCTGGGAGCTCAATCTAGTCCTGGACCGTCTCATGAGGCCTCCCTTTGAACCTATGGCTGTGCCTAACTATGAAGGCGCTGTTCTTGGTGGCCATCACCTCTGGGAGGAGAGTTAGTGAGATGGGGCCCTCGTGGTGGGCCCACCATATACTATATTCACAAAAGACAAAGTTATGCTAAGACCGCACCCATCATTTGTGCCTAAGATCAGCTCCTCCTTCCATATTAACGTGCGCTAATGGAGGGCCCGCCCTATACAGTGTTGAGTAAGGACAGAGTAACTGAGGCTGCACCCGATGTTCCTTCCGAAGGTCGGCATAAGCTTCCACATCACTGAACCCATTGTCCTGCCTACATTGTTCGCGAGACCTTGTGCTTCGCCCAGAGAGGCAAAGCCGCATTCGTTGGATGGGCGAAGAGCTTTGGCTTTTTACGTTGACAGAACTCGGGGTTTTTGCACACTTTGTTGCTACGACTGGCCTTTCAAAGGGCAACCTTATCTTGACTCAACGAATTTCAAAATTGGTAGCAACTTGCATTCTCCAATACCATTTACTCTCTGGTAAACTACTCGGCCTATGGCAGCATCCACAGCATTCGTCAAAAATGTGCCTCTACGAGACATT